TATATATATATATATATATATATACATGAACTAATGAATAATTATAATTTACTAGGAACACAACAACACTACAGCTCGTTTGCACGTGTGTTTACTCAGTATACTCTTCATAGGTATACGGTATATGTTAATATATTATTGTACCGAACACTACATAAGCACACTGTTTGGAGCCCCCCCTTAATAGTGTTATTTATTATTATACATATATTTATTGTATACGGCGGATAACTATAAGTTATATAGCTCCAAAAATATTATAATGATATAATTATAAGAACACGAGAATTTGGAAAATCTATCGCCTTAAAAAGTAAGACTCACGTGTTCACAATAAACCTAACTATACAAGAGTTATTTTATGACATTTGAATTTTTAAATGAAAATAACAATTAGCTCCTGTACAATATACCAAGGTGAATTACTTTCTAGCTTTAATCTTTTACAAACTAACTACTATACTTACTAGATTATATGGGTGTAGATTTTGAATTAATTACTTTATTATAGGCGATAAAATAATATATAAATTAAAATTATTAACTTATATAGTAACTATAATACACTTATAATAATATGAAATTGCATTTTTTATTAATGAATAAATAATAATATTATTATAATTTATAGGTATATATAAATATATAATACATGATGCCTTTTTAACTTTTATTATATACATACATGTAGTGAATGTACATACATTCCCATAATCCCATGCATATTTACCAAGCTCTAGGTATGTTAAAAAATAATAAACACAGTAAGTATTGTTGCTGTATAGATAAATTTTGTGTTCCTATTTGAGTATTTTATTTTTATTGCATAAGATTCTGAGTGAAGGTCACGTAATTATATAATTATTTAAATCGGTTCTACGATGATGTTTTTTTTTCTTAAATTTTATTTCCTTCTGTGAAAACTTTTTTGGGATGTAGGAGAAGCTCAAAAATGTTAATGATCCACAACCTATATCAATTGGAAACCATAAGTAGGTTGTAGGTATATCAAAAACAGTGCCGAAACTAWGATTTTTAGGGCCGGGGTGCAAAACAAACAATATGGTTCTTTTACTTTCAAAAATTATAACATTATCATTAAAATGCATTTGTGTGTGAAGACGTAAAAAATCATTTAAGTTTCTTATGAACTACAAAAAATACATATAAATACCATATTATACAAAAAATAATAATAATAAAATTATATTATATCACTGTATACGAAAAACGATTCTGAGTAGAGATGGTTTGTAAGTCTAGGATATGTTATCCTACTATATTAATCAATAATCATATTGCTATCATTTCAAAAAAAAAAAAAAAAAAAAAAAAAAATGGAGGTTCTTATAAAATAAATTTTAAATTAATATAATCAGACTCACTCAGTCGTTCATAAAAGGTATATACAATATACAATTTATAATAAAGTAATAATATAACTCATTAACTATTAAAATTAAAATATAAAGTTTACTCTAGAAATTTCGAGTGTTAATGAATAATATTTTTAAATTACAACAATGTAACTAAAATTGTTATTCTTGGTTATTTAATATGTAATTTAATCCAAATTTGAACTTAAAATAACTATAAAAACACTTTGTGTGTATAGTTTTTAGATTTTTTTTTGTTACAGAATTAACTACTGAGGTGGAACCTTGTATTAAATTTTCAAGTTTTTTGACCCAATGAATAAAATTTTATTTACATTAATATAATTAAAAACTAAAAAACTGGTGTAAATTTTAAGTTTTTTCAGATATTCGTTTTTGGAAAACAATAAAATAAGAATATCGGTACTAGATAAATTGAGTGAATCTTCAATGTTATCATTCAAGTGCTCATAAAAATTTAATTTGACTTTCTAATTCAATATTTTTATTTGATAAAATTAGAATAATTCATGAAGAATCTTGTATTGAATTTTCAAATCATAGATTTAAAAAGTTAAATTTTTATGAATATTTAACTAAAAAAAAATACAAATGTTCATGATTTTTACGTATTTTGTCAAACTTCGAACTTTCAATTCCAAAATGTATTTTTAATATTTTTTAACTAACATTGTAAAAATATATTAGGAACCTTGTATTAAATGTTGAAGCTTTTTTACCATACGAATAATATTTTATTGTCATTTATAAAAAAAACAAGCATAAAGATCGAAAATTTCAAGGTCTATAAATAACTTAAAAATATTTGAAATATTTTTTTAAATTTTATCAAGTATAGAAAATGTCATGTATCTATGGTAATTTGTTTTAGAGTTACACTAATACCTAAAATCAATC